AAAAAAAAAAAAACCAATTTACTTTCAGCTGCAAGCAAAATAATGAGGATACTCCAGGTACAAAATGAGAAATGCAGCTGAGAGTTACCTTCTTTGTAGTTTGTACACCTTAAATCCACTCCATGGATGAAAAACAAAAACCACCATCTTAATTTACCATCCAAAGTAACCCACATTCAAATCGGACCCTAGACCCAAACTGCGCCTAGCCCACTCAAACAGCCTGCCGCGCCCAAGCCCATTTTCTAGGCCCGACCCACGAAAGGCCGACCTCCTCATGCTCTGCACGTCACTAGTGTTCCTCTCACTCTCCAACTTCTTCCATTTCTCGGCCTGCGTGGGGTCCACTTCCCGGGGCCTCCCCAAAGGGTGCTCCGACTTCACGTGCCTCTTCATCTGTTTATATGTCCCGGAAAACGAGCAATCGTGATGCGCACAGTTTCTTTTCCTTAAGTTGAGGAGTTTGCGTTCGGGTTTGACCACGGTCCACCCTTTGACCTGTCCGCGGCAGAGAGGGCACGGGACCTCATCTTGTTCGAAATCAACATCATCATCATTGGCGTAGGCTTTGGTGTATTGTTCAAGGCAGTTTGAAAATTGGTGGCTGGTAGCGCACATGTAGGGTCGGCACCCATTTTCGTGAGACGAGCAGAGTAAGACGACTGCATTGTGGGGAGACTCCAGGCAGACGGAGCATACAGCGTTTTCCAATTCTTTGTTCTCCGATGGCTTGCACTTGTTTGATGATTTTTTCACGGATAGGGAGTTGGTTTTTCCCTTTCTCTGCAGCTTGTTGGATTTTGCCATTTGTTTGATAGGAAAAAAACTTAACTGCACCAACCGAAAAAAAATAATCGAACCACAAGGGGTAAACAAGAACAAATGTGCAATCATCGAAATAAGATTAGTATCTTCTTTCCCTCCACGATTAGTTAAAGAAGTAAATATGTTAGTGCTTCTCTTTGCGCAGTGTGATAGATTTGTGTGGGAATCTATGATAAAATTAAAGATTATTATAAAACCATGCTATAAATTTTATGACCCAACCACAAGATAGAAAATTAACCTTCTTTTTTTCCGACAGGCAACAGGATTTGTTGAGTCAAACGGAACGAAATGGCTTTTAGACAACAA